CCAGCTAATTTTTCCCCCTCTTTCTAATTTAAATAGGGGTATGTGCGTTCCAGTGCATTTTGTATGTATTTTACCGTGTTCCAGTAGAGTTCTATGCAGGAAAAATACAGCCTGTTCTACTTTTTTTTTCTCTATTCGGAATGCACTGTAACTGCAAGCACTGATGTGAGCTATAACACTGACAACCATATAACCTACTTTCTGTGCATTTGGATGCAGAAAAAAAAGTAATTGAAACGTTTGCAGTGTGAACTGGCCCTTATGCAGGTCATAGACGGGTCATTTATCAGCTGAATTTTCATCCGCACAAAAAATCTTCAATATTCATGCTGTTAGTGGGGCAATGCCGTCGGCCGTTTTTCATGGATCTTCTCATTTCTTTTTATCGGTCATGCTGGAAAATCCACGAAAAACGCCCATTTTTCCTAGACATTGGTGGCAGCATCGGCAACGGCAACGACTGACTTTTCGTTTATCGGCCTTAGGCTGCTTTCACACTGATCCATTTTTTTCCGTCTGAACAACTGATCCATTGCAGGTCTGGTGCGTTTTTTTAAAATCCTGCTTGCTGCAGTTTTGGTGCAGTAAAAAAGCACCAAACACACAACTCACCATTGAAATCAATGGAAAACACAGCAAAGCAGCACAGCAAACACAACCAAACAGCACATAAATAGACAATGTTTGTTTGGGAGCCTCCAATAAAGAAATACAATTTAGGTTTACCAACACTTTTAGGCTAAGTTTACACACAAGCTTCAAAAGCAGACACTTCATGAGCATTTTTGAAGCACCGTAAAGTTGTGTGCACTACAACACCCAGTGCTGTTCACATGGCTGCGTTAGTGTTGTGTTACATTGCATCAAAGTTGACCTGACGTGTAGTTTGCTAGGCTTTGCCTCTTCCCAACACTTCTATTGAGGTAAATGTAATTGTGTTGGAAACGCACTGCAAATGCATCACAAGTGCCCCTATGGTGTTTACAGCATGTTTGAGATGTGTTTAGAAAGCATTACTAAGCGAGATGAGAATACAAAAATCCATACGCACCTCACCATTGAAATCAGTGGAAGATAAAGAAAAAAACACATAAAAAAAAAACCAAAACGCACCCATGTTGCATTTTTGGTGTGTTTTTTGAGTCACATGTCCTATATCTCTAAAGGCATCGAGGTGAGGAAGGCTAAAGGTAAACAACCCGGCCATAAATTGCAGCAATAAAAATAGCAGAAATACCTTTTATAAGGTTATTGATCCAGGTATTGTGATTGATTTTCTTCTCCACATTGGTCTGTGGGTGGGGCAAAGCCACAACTTGTCCCTATGACATTTTTGCTGTTTATTCCCATCTTATGCCCCTGGCCATGCAGGGTGGGCTTTAACAAATATGGTCATGTGACCTTGGCTCCTTAAAAATAGTAAAAAGGATTACTGGCATCGTATTTGCATATTTTATTCTGATTGCTTATTAACTGCTGAGGCCACAAGGTGTAAATGTAAAAACTATTCTGTTTTGTCCTATGATGAAAGTGAAGGTCACTGGAGGAGCTGCTGTCCATCTGTCTGTGACATGGGTATATGGGAGATGCAGCATTTTTGGAGAATCTGCAGCATACCCACATGGGTAGCAATGCAGCTAGAATGTTGTCACCAGATTTAACCGCAGCCCTATAGCAGAGGAAAAACAAAAAAAAAAAAAAAAAAAAAAAATTATTATATATATATATATATATATATATATATATATATATAGCACAGTGGCTAAATGGTTAGCACTTCCGCCTGGCAGTACTAGGGTTATTGGTTTGAATCCCAACCATGGCACCACCGGCCTGGAGTTTGCATGTTCTCCCTGTGCCTGCATGGGTTTCTTCGAGGTACTCTGGTTTCCTCCCACACTCCAAAGACATGCTGGTAGGTTAATTGGCTCCTGTCTACATTGTCCCTAGTATGTATCTGTATGATTGTAAGTTAGGGACCTTAGATTGTACGCCCCTTGAGGGTTAGAGACTGATGTGAATGTACAATATATATGTAAAGCGCTGTGTAAATTGACGATGCTATATAAGTACCTGAAATAAATAAATATTAATTACTTGCTGCGTGGTCAACAAGTATTACTGACGGCAGAGAGAACTGTATGTAAACAATACAGTTCTCTCCTCTGTGAGCTCCAGCACACTGCTTTGTATGGCTCTACATAGCAGAGCCATACAAAAGAAGTGTACTTAGAGTGGAAGGCACAGACAAAGCCCCATAGTAAAACGCACACAGTTAACCCTTTGATCACCCCAGATGTTAACCCCTTCCTGCCCAGTGCCATTAGTACAATGTCAGTTCTTTTTATTAGCGCTGTTCACTGTATTGGTGTCACTTGGAATGTCAGTGACACCAAATCAGTTCCCCCCAGTGTCAGAATGCCCACCACAGTCCAGCTATAAGTCGCTGATCACCGCCATTATTAGTAAAAAAAGAATTATTTTTAAATGTAGAACTTCATATATATCACACATATATATATATATATACACACACACTATATATATATTTTTTTTATTTTTTTTTTCGGCCTCTAATAAAGAAATACAAATTCTGTGCATTTGGATGCAGAAAAAAAGCTATTGAAATGCATGTAGTGTGAACTGGCCCTTAGGCTGCTTTCACACAGATCCATTTTTTTCTGCTTTTGCATTAAAAAAAAAAAAAAAGAAGAAAAGAAAAACATGTGACCAAGTATTCTTATGGAACTCTTCACACTGATCCATTGCAGGTCTGGTGCGGTTTTTTTTAAATCCTGCTTGCTGCAGTTTTGGTATAGTTAAAAAAAAAAAGCACCAAACACACAATTCACCATTGAAATCAATGGAAAACACAGCAAAGCAGCACAGCAAATGCAGCCAAGCAGCACACATAAATAGACAATGTTTGTTTGGGAACCTCTAATAAAAAAAATACAATTTAGGTTTACTGACACTTTTAGGCTAAGTTTACACACAAGCTTCAAAAGCAGACACTTCATGAGCATTTTTTAAGCTCCACGAACATCTGTCAAAGTTATGTAACCCAGTATTGGTCACATGGTTGCATTAGTGTTGTGTTGCATCAAAGATGTGTGCAAAATCCATACAAGAAGATCCAACACAGATGGGATTTTTAGTACAATGCAAATGCATAAAAAAAAAAAACAAAAAAAAAAAAAAAAAAAACGCCTTTAAACCAGGGTGGATAAAAATCAATGATTTTTTTAAAAAAAATCGGATTATTTGATTTAAATCTGATTTTTTTGATTTAAATCGGATTTTTTTGAATAAAATGCTTTTTGAGGAAAATATATTACCATCCAAAGGTTATTCCATCATGAAATAAAGATTCGTTTTTTAATTATGTAGAAGAAGGCTGTATATGTTTAATTTTTTTGGTAAATAAATTCCATTAATCCATTCACAATGTCATGCTTTTCCAGAGGTTTTTGTAAGATTATTGGGCAGTTTCTCTGCCTACAAGATATTATCACAGATGCTTGGTTTACTTTTGCAGTTCTCAAAACTGAATTTGACTCAGCGGAGATCACATGCCTCTTCTTCACAGAAGAAATGTTATAACATGAACAGAGTTAAGAAAGACCTTAATCCTAACTTCTACAAACCTATGAATACAGAATCAATCCCTTCAGTGCTAAGTTTCAAGAAGTTCAGTGAATAGAATCGAAACAATATTTTTCTGATTGTTTGGAGTGGAATAGATCTGCACAAGAAGAAAGTGAAACTAAGTGTGAGGAGGAAGGGGCTGACAGTCTAAGTTTCTTAAATATATATATATTTTGTTTAGCCAAATTAGTTAACAAACATGGATGTTTAAGCAAATAACATATGCTGTAATGTTATTGTTTCAGTTGAATAAATCTATTTAAATTGTTATTATTAAGGTAATGATTATTTTTCTCCTTCCTAAGTACAACAGAAAAGTTGTCCAAATATGAATGATTAACCTATTAAACTGGGGATAAAAAAACTAATATGAAAAGTTGTTATTCTAAAAATCTTCATCTACTTGTATATTAAAGTTATACCAGCAAGAATTAGTCTTTATGTAGAAAACTAGGATTTAAATCAAGCCTTACTGACTAGTGATTTAAATCGTGATTTAAATCAGTTTGATTTAAATCAAATCCACCCTGCTTTAAACACATAAGGTGTACTATTGGGCGCCCAAATTTCTTTGCATGTCTAATAGATCCCTTATGCCTCATGCACACTGAACATATATAACATTGCTGTAAGGGGCGTCCGGCTTTTCCCCCCTGCCTCTTAACACTCCTGTATGTTAATCTATGTGTCATGCACCATGGACATTTAGAGGCAAAAAAAAAAAAAAAATCCACTGCCAATGCATCTGGTAGAAGCAGTGTTTTTGCAGCAGAAAACAAATGCTTGGTGTGTGTAAACGCGAGTCAACACTAGGTATATAAAGAACTTAAGTGTTAATTAATTTCAATAGCCAGAATAAGGTATTAGCCAATTAAATTATTTAACACCCAAGTGCTTGACACTCCTAAACGCATTTACAACCATCAACAGCAAGTGTTTTTTTCTGCCAAAACACCGCTACCAGGAGAAAAGGTATCTAGGAGCGATAGGCCTAATACAGCTACATAATTATGAACAAGTAGACATGGAAAAAAATATGAACCACATTAGAAGTTGCTTTTAATTAAAATCGGGGGGGGGGGGGGACTTGTAACCCTTGCATTGAGGCTTCCCCAGGATGATTTTTTTTTTTTTACAGACTAAAGATCTGACAGCAGCTGTTTGTCACAAAGTATGCAGGCAACAATTATTACCATCAGTGAAAATCTAGGGATTCTTGCCAGCAGCCCCTGCTGTGCAAAGTGTGACTGTAGCCTTGCCCAACCCACTTGCCCTGACTTCTTTAATTACCAGCACAGAAAGTAATGGGGATCAAAACATTTTATATTTATTACCAACAATTTACACATCACTTTACATTTACACTAGATTGCCAAAAGTATTGGGACCCCCCTCCAAATCATTGGATTGAGGTGTTCCAATCACCTCCATGGCCACAGGTGTATACAATCAAGTACCTTGGCATGCAGACTGCTTCTACAAACATCTGTGAAAGATTGGGTCGCTCTCAGGAGCTCAGTGAATTCAAGTGTGGTAGGGTGAAAGGTTGCCACCTGTGAAATAAGTCCATCTTTGAAATTTTCTGGCTGCTAAATATTCAACAGTCAACTGTTAGTGGTATTATAACAAAGTGGAAGCAACTGGGAACAACAGCAACTCAGCCATGAAGTGGTAGGTCATGTAAAATGACAGAGTGCACAGTGCGCAGAAGACGCCAACTGTACCGGAGTCAATAGGTAAAGCCCTCCAAACTTCGTGTGGCCTTCAGATCAGCACTGCAACAGAATGGGTTTCCATGGCCAAGCAGCTGCATCCATCCATCTTACATCACCAAGTGCAATGCAAAGCATGGGAAGCAGTGGTGTAAAGCACACTGCCACTGGACTCTAGAGCAGTGGAGACGTGTTCTCTGGAGTGATGAATCATACTTCTCTGCCTAGCAATTCAACAGAAGTGTCTGGGTTTGGTGGTTGCCAGGAGAACGGTAGTTACCTGACTGCATTGTGTTAAGTATAAGTTTGGTAGAGGGGGATTATGGTGTGGGGTTGTGTTTCAGGGGTTGGGCTTGGCCCCCTAGTTCCAGTGAAGGGAACTCTTAAGGCATCAGCATACCAAGACATTTTGGACAATTTCATGCTCCCAGCTTTGTGGGAAGAGTTTGGGGATGGCCCCTTCCTGTTCTAACATGACTGTGCACCAGTGCACAAAGCAAGGTCCATAAAGACAATGGCATGCAATGCCAAGCTGCGGTTTCTAAAGTGAGCAAAATCCTCTCTTGTATTAAAAGAAGTATAGACTCCAGAGAGAGATATCATGTTACCTCAGTACAAATCATTAGTAAAACCTCATCTGGAATATGCAGTTCAGTTTTGGGCACCAATTCACAAAGAGAACATTGGGGAACTGGAGAAAGTGCAGCGAAGGGCAACCAAACTGATACGAGGCATGGAGGAGCTCAGCTATGAGGAAAGATTAGAGGAACTGAATTGATTCTCTCTTGAGAAGATTAAGGAGATTAAGGGGGGATATGATCAACATGTATAAATACATCAGTGGTTCATATAGTGAACTCGGTGTAGCGTTATTCACCCTGAGGTCATCACAGAGGACAAGGGGGTACTCTTTAAATCTCGAGGAAAAGAAATTTAATCTCCAAATACGGAAAGGTTTCTTCACAGTAAGAGCTGTGAAAATGTGGAATAGACTCCCTCAAGAGTTGGTTCTGGCCAGCTCAGTGGATTGCTTTAAAAAAAAGGTCTGGATTCTTTCTTAGATACATAGAATATAACTGGTTACTAACATTTATAGGTAAAGTTGATCCAAGGAATATCCAATTGCCTCTCGGGGAGGGGGGGGGGGGGAAATCAGGAAGGAATGTTTTTCCCCTCCAGGGGCAAATTGGATCATGCTTTGCTGGGTTTTTTTGCATTCCTCTGGATCAACTGGGGGTATAGGATTATAACTTTTTTTTTTATGGTTAAACGGGATGGACTTTTGTCTTTTTTCAGCCAGACTAACTATGTAACTATGTTAGAAGGGATGAGTTATGGTCAACAGCGAGATTAGACCCATGTATACATGTCAATCTATGTATATGTAGGTTATGGTTTGTATATTTCTTTTTGTGCGATTATCACACCTGTCTTTTCTCCCAACGACTGGCAGGAATGTCTTATTTTACATTATATACAATATTTATAGCAATATGTGTATGTAAAATGTTTCACACATAACACACGGAGGATGTTATTTCTGGAATGTCGTTCCAGATCCTCAGATTCTGTAGGTTGAAGCTTTCTGATGACTCAGTTATTTATCACTTGGCATTTTGTTCTTAAGCATATGTACATTTATGAGAAGGATTTCTGAAGATTTGGTGAGAATTGAAGTATATGTACTGTAAGCTGAAGCTTTATTTTTTTTGTTATGGACAGAGCAGGGAATAGTTAGGGCAGCTGTCATTTTTTTTTTAATTTTCCATCTATGTCCAGAAGATTTCTCTTCACTTCCTGTCCCAGAGACACAACAGGAAGTAAGAGATTTCTCCAGTGCAAGGGGTTAGGTAGTTGTCACCAGAACATGTTTACCCTTTAGAACAATTCTCTTCACCTACAGCAGTGGTTCTCAACCTTTCTAATGCCGCGACCCCTTAATACAGTTCCTCATGTTGTAGTGACCCCCAACCATAAAATTATTTTCGTTGCTACTTCATAACTGTAATTTTGCAGTGGGAGGACTAGCGCCCCATCACTGATGTCAGTGGGATGAATAGTGTCCCATCGTTGGTATCAGTGGGATGAATAGTGTCCCATCATTGGTGTCAGTGGGAGGAATAGTGTCCCATCATTGGTGTCAGTGGGAGGAATAGTGCCCCATCATTGGTGTCAGTGGGAGGAATAGTGTCCCATCATTGGTATCAGTGGGAGGAATAGTGTCCCATCATTGGTGTCAGTGGGAGGAATAGTGTCCCATCATTGGTGTCAGTGGGATGAATAGTGCCCCATCATTGGTGTCAGTGGGAGGAATAGTGCCCCATCATTGGTGTCAGTGGGAGGAATAGTGCCCCATCATTGGCGTCAGTGGGAGGAATAGTGTCCAATCATTGGCGTCAGTGGGAGGAATAGTGTCCCATCATTGGCGTCAGTGGGAGGAATAGTGCCCCATCATTAGTGTCAGTGGGAGGAATAGTGCCCCATCATTGGTGTCAGTGGGAGGAATAGTGCCCCATCATTGGTGTCAGTGGGAGGAATAGTGCCCCATCATTGGTGTCAGTGGGAGGAATAGTGCCCCATCATTGGTGTCAGTGGGAAGAATAGTGCCCCATCATTGGCGTCAGTGGGAGGAATAGTGCCCCATCATTGGCGTCAGTGGGAGGAATAGTGCCCCATTGTGGGTGTCAGTGGGGGGAGGAATAGTGCCCCATCGTTGGTGTCAGTGGGGGGAGGAATAGTGCCCCATCGTTGGTGTCAGTGGGGGGAGGAATAGTGCCCCATCGTTGGTGTCAGTGGGGGGAGGAATAGTGCCCCATCGTTGGTGTCAGTGGGGGGAGGAATAGTGCCCCATCGTTGGTGTCAGTGGGGGGAGGAATAGTGCCCCATCGTTGGTGTCAGTGGGGGAGGAATAGTGCCCCATCGTTGGTGTCAGTGGGGGGAGGAATAGTGCCCCATCGTTGGTGTCAGTGGGGGGAGGAATAGTGCCCCATCGTTGGTGTCAGTGGGGGGAGGAATAGTGCCCCATCGTTGGTGTCAGTGGGGGGAGGAATAGTGCCCCATCGTTGGTGTCAGTGGGGGGAGGAATAGTGCCCCATCATTGGTATTAGTGACACAAATGATGGGGCACTATCCCTCCCACTGACACCAATGATCCTTACCTTGCTGACTCCTGCTCCAGCCTGGACTCGCTCTCTCCCTCTCCCATCTACAGCCTGCATACCTGGCTGCAGCAGCAAAATTTGCACTTACCTGTCAGCTGTCTTCCTTCTCTGGCCTCTCTCTTCACTTGTTCCTGCAGCTCCCTCGATCTTCTTCGATCTCCGCGCGCTGCCGCTCGGCTCCTCCTCTCCAAGCTCCACCTTCTCGCCGGTGATTGGCCGCCTGTGTGCCTCTCCTGAGCTACAGTTCCGGTGGCCAATCAGCGGCGAGGAGGCGGTGACAGGGGCAGCATATCATCCCGCCCACACATTGCCGGAGACAGGAGCGGCGTCTCGGTTCCTAAGACCATCGGAAATATGTGTTTTCCGATGGTCTTAGGCGACCCCTGGGAAATGGTCGTTCGACCCCCAAAGGGGTCGCGACCCCCAGGTTGAGAACCGCTGACCTACAGGTTCTGGGACAACGCAAAAATGTGGGATTTCCAATTACTTTCTGTGTAGGAGACAATGGGCCCAAATCCATTTATGAGGGTGAATCTTCCTAAGGGGGACACAAATTACTGTAGTTCTTAAAGAGGGCTATAATCCCACAGTCCATTCAATGGCTTTCCATACACTTTAACACTTCAGACATGAAATTAGAATACAGAATTGGTGAAAAATTATCAAGAAATCAGATGCCACGGAATGTTAAGGGCAGGCGATGGGTTATACCTGTCCACGGTTTCAAAATTTTTAATTTAGTCTTAGAGACCTGGTGCCCAACCTGTGCCCCTCTGGACCTCAGAGTCCCTGTAAACACCCATTTTTGTTTCCTTTTTGCCTTGTTATAGTAGCAATTTCTAGCAGCCTCTTGCATCAGGTCCACAGTCTCTGCCCATCCCTTGCTATCAGGTCCGCAGTCTCTGCCCATCCCTTGCTATCAGGTCCGCAGTCTCTGCCCATCATTTGCTATCAGGTCCGCAGTCTCTGCCCATCATTTGCTATCAGGTCCGCAGTCTCAGCCCATCCCTTGCTATCAGGTCCGCAGTCTCTGCCCATCCCTTGCTATCAGGTCCGCAGTCTCTGCCCATCCCTTGCTATCAGGTCCGCAGTCTCTGCCCATCCCTTGCTATCAGGTCCGCAGTCTCTGCCCATCCCTGCTATCAGGTCCTCAGTCTCTGCCCATCCCTTGCTATCAGGTCTGCAGTCTCTGCCCATCCCTGCTATCATGTCTGCAAGAGAAGTCCTCAACAAGAAAGTTGACCACGACTGTCTTAAGAGGATTTCCCACAGGATGCAATTTTGTGGACTGAGCCATTGAGGTGTATTTACCACAGAAAGAAAAAGAATGCTTATATAACTTCTTAACGATCTGGGTGGGGGAGAAATTGAGATTTTCACCTCTCAGCAAAAATTGTATAATTTCTGCACAATTTCACCATTTTAGGGCCCATTCACACCAGCTCAGTCCAGTGAGGTGCATTAAATATTTATTTTGCATTGCATTAGGGAAGCTCAACAATGTACCAAATGTACCACAATGTATCAAAAATAGGCATGCAACATTTTTGGCACCGCCTGTGCATT